GCTAAGGGCTGAGGCAGAGCACTTCTGTGGGGCGCAAGGTGCTGGTGAAGGGAGAGGCCAGGGCTGGAAGGCAGGCTTGGGGCAGAAAAGCCCCACCGGTGGAGGTGGGAGGTGGCCTCTCACTTCCTGCAGGCACAGGTCACAGGAGGCTGAGTGGAAGTGGCTGCCTTGGCCTGCACGTCTGGCCCCAGAGAGCTCCGATCTGCCTGAGAAGGGGGTCAGCGTCTCAGTCACTGCACCCTTCCGGCCCCTCAAGTCCCCACCTGAGTGGCGCTGAGCCCAGGAGCTGACCAGACTTCCTCTAGCAGCCCCTTCATGGCTGTGTTCAGAGATCAACCCGAGGAAGCGGGGTACGCAGACGGCCGCGGTCCTCTGATGCCAGCCTGGGTGCTGTCCTCAAGGAAGAGCCTGGGCCCAGCTCTACAGGCAGGGCAGACAGCATCTCTCCAGAAAGCTCTGCCTGGTGGGCTGTGGTATGCACTGCCTGCCTCTGCCTGCCAGCAAAACTCCCAGTCAGTATCTAGGGGAGCCTCCCGTTGGCCCTGCTCCTACAGAGGGGTCAGGACATGGTCCTGTCATTTACGGGTGCCACCCACCCAGCCACCCAGCATAGCTCCTGTGTGAGGCTCAGATGTGGGCTCATTATCATCCCCTGTCTCAATGCTCCCAGCCCTATTTCCTACTCAATTCATTTAACGTGTCCTTAGATTCAAGGACAGTTAACAAAGGCACCCAGTATCCCATTTGCCCACTGACGGAATCCCAGGTTGATTCCACATCTTAGCTGACGTGACCAGCGCGGCAGTAAACATGGGCGTGGTGTCTCTGGTGTGGTGATCTCACTCCCCTTGGATGTGTACCCAGCAGAGGATGGCTGGATCATGTGGTGATCTATTTTTGATTGAGGAACCTCTGTACTGTTCTGCGTAATGGCTGTACAAATCTGCGTTCCCACTCACAGTGTATGAGTTCCCTTTTCTCCACACCCTTCCTAGCATTTATTGTCTTTTGCTAGCGCTCATTCAAACTGAGGTGAAATGCTATCTCATTGTAATTTTGATTTCCATTTTCCAGTTAATGATATGGAGCATTTCCTTCATATATATTTTTGGGGCCATTTGTATTTATCCTTTTTAGAAGTATCTATTTAGATCCCTGCCTTTTTTGTGTATGTGTGTGTCTTTTTGAGACAGGGTCTCACTATGCAGTTCAGGCTGGCCTCAAAATCACCTTGTAGCCCAGGCTGGCCTTGAACTCACAGCGATCCTCCTGCCTCAGCCTCCCAAATGCTGAGATTACAGGTGTGCACTACCACATCCAGCTCCTTTTTTTTTTTTTTTTAAATTGGATTACTTGACCTTTATTGCTGTTAAATTTTCCAGTTCCTTATATACTCTGGATATAAATCTTTTGTCAGACGGATAGTTGGCAAATATCTTCTCCCACTTTGTACGGCAATTCTTCATTCTGCTGATTGTCTCCTTTGCTGTGCAGACACTTTTTATTTGATGTAATCGCATCTGTCTATTCTTGCTCTTATTTCCTGTTCTTTTAGCGTCATATTAAAAAAGCGCTGCCTATACCAGCATCTTCAGGTGTTCTTCCTGTTTTCTTCTAGTAGTTTCATATTTTTTGGGTCTTGCATGGAAAAAAAACAAGATGGCATCCCTGATGACTATGATCCTCTGATAGAGCCCGACATTCTGAGATGCAACCAAGTACCACCTCCTGCAGGGAGCCCTCCAAGCTGTTCTAGGAGTTCCTTCCTCTGTTCCTCTCTCTCAGGACCCAGGCTCCCCTCCTTTAGCCTTAGGATGGCCTTGTGTGACCTGCCTCTGCCTCTCTGGAGCCGGCACACAGACAGGCCTTAGTAAGTGGCAGTCACTCCCACCAGCAGCACTAGCACCCCACCACCGTCATTCCTGGAATTCTAGGAATTCCCTGCCCCCTTCCCTGGCCTCCAGCAGACCACATCTGAATGTTACCAGCACCTGTGCAGGCAGGTTCTTCTCTAAGAAAACCCGGCGTCTGAAATCCCAACAGGCAGAACTCACAGGCTGGGACCACTTTATCAGCCCCCTTGGGAAGCCCCCACCCCCAGTAAATGAGTCCTGCAGGAGCGCTGCACCCCACTGAACTCTAAAGGAGGCCCACCTGTCACTGGACCCTGGGGTTCTGAAATCACAACTGCCACTCGCCTTCCCACCTGGAGCTGCTTCCACCAAGCGTGTCTCAGGTAAGGCGGAGGTCTGTAGGGGGCTCCAATGCCCCTCCAAAGCACAGACCTGGCTCTCAGATCCTCGCTGTGTCCCTCTGTGTCTGCCAAGGGGAGGGGCAAGGCAGGATCCCCCCCCCCCAGGGGGGGGCTACCCAATCTGAGAAGGATCAGCTTTGAGCAGGGACCTGGATCGCTCCCTGCACAGCTGAGAAGACAGATGTGAGGGTAGTGGATGGGAACATTTAGCTGGCAGAACAGCTGATCCCTACATCCTTGCCAGGCCTCACAAGCAAAGCCCCAGGCAGGCGTGTGAGGGCCCAGTCCCCACCCAGTAGGCCCTGTGCTCCTGCCAGACCCCAGCTCTATCCTTGTGAAAGGGAATTTCTTCAAGAAGCAGAGACTCTGAAGTCCACCCTGAGAACTCCTCCCCTCCCGGGCGGTGGCCAAGAACATAGGTCACCTGTGTGGCCTTGATTCAGGATGCTCTCAGGACCTCCCTCATCTATGAATGTGCTTGACAGTGGTACCCACGAGGCAAGCAGTGCAGCCTCAGGGCCCGTGCAGCCTGGTTGTGATAGGTGACGTGCACTGGCTTCTAGAGGCCTGGTCCCGTAGGGCACAGTCCAGCCTGACCCTGGCCCCAGCCCGGCTGAGGATGTTGTCTCTGGAGGAAAAAACACCTTGGGGGTTGGAGGCAGTCTCCAGGCAGTGCCTTCCCTCCCCAGCCTCCTATCCTCTATTTCACAGGAACCTGACTCCCTCTAGCGCGACCCCCACTGCTTCAGCAGCCCGGGGCACGGATGGTCACTCCACTTCAGCACTAGCCCAGGGTCACTTTGCTGTCACCCACGTGGCTGAGATGAGGTGGGTACGGTTTACCATTCAGCAGAGCTTTAGGATGAGCTGAGGACAGCAGGGAGGCCACCTGAGGCTTCCTGTCCAACACCGCAGGCAGAAAGGCTGCAGGTGTGGGTTTGGTGGCCTTTAGTCCCGTCCACTTCCCTTTGGGAATCCCTGGGGGAGCTGGTGACCCTCATGAAGACAACCCATTCCCCTCCCAGCCGTCCGCATGCAACAATCAGGGCCAGCTCTTCAAAGCAAAGAGCTCCTTGCTGCCCCACGAGCCTCCAGTGGTTCCCAGAGCCCTCCGGCCTCAGCTCCAGCCACACTGCTCCAAGACACCTGGCTCCTTTCCCCCTCTGGCCCTTGCTGTTCCTTCTGCCTGGATGCCGCCTCCCCAGCTGGCCCAGCTCACTCATCTCCTATTAGATGTGCTCACGCCTGCCCGGTGCTGCTCTCCTCTTCACCCCGGCCCCAGGCACACACTGGTGCTGCCGTGTTTTCCTGTCTCCCTTGCTACAGAGCCTTGAGAGCTGGAACCTTGGCCATCTGACTCACAGCTGTGTCCCCAGTACCCCGTAGAGTACAATCACTAAGTGGGTTTGCACGCACAAGGGCTCTCCAGAGGCTGGGGGCCACTCTGCACCCTGGGTCTGTACAGCTTCCAACATCGTGAGGCTTAGAAGCAGCAGGTGTGGGTCCTAGGCTCAGTCCCCAAGGCGCCATCTGGCACTCAACCAGCTTTCTCCAACTGCTGGGGGTCTTGCCACGCCAACCGCTGTGTCAGTCAGCTACAGAGAAGTCTGGCGATGCCCTGGCTCAGCTGCGGGAAGTGCTGTCCAAATGAACACTGCCCTTTAAACCTGGAGTTTCCAGACAAGTGACTGTGTCCAGGAGACCGATGCACAGCCAGCACTCTCTGCCCTGCCAGCAGCCCTGGGCAGAGAGATCAGGTTGCCTGGCCTGGATTTCTGAGAGGGTACTGGATCTGTCTTTTGAAAGCCGTCCCTCACCTCATGACCTGTCTGGCACCCTGACCCAGTCTGTGTGGCTGAGGGAGGCCAAGGAAGGAAAGGTCTGGGGACAAACAAGTCCTGGAAGCACCTGACCCTCCCCTGCGTGGTCACTCTGCCCATGTTGGGTCACTGGCAAGCGCTGGGTGCTTCATGCTTTATATGTCCCTGCATGTGGTCATCTGTTTGCTGCAGGCCTTGCCACCCACAGTGTGGTCCACGGGAGCCAGGCTCTGATTCAGAATGGGCACAGACTTGACCTCTGAGGGTCTCTCTGCACAGGGACGTCTGAGAAGTGGCTGGAGAGGACCAGCTTCATTGGGGGAACAGAAGTGGGGTTTCACTGTGTTGAGGGTGAGGGGAGCTTTCCCAGCCCCAGTGCGACCACTCAAGCTGACAGTCATGCGTTCACTCTGGCCAAGGCCGAAAGGGTCCTGGGAATACACCAGCTCAGAGGCATCTGCAGGAGGCTATCTCAAGGGCCCTGCAGCTCTGAAGCCAGCATGCGGGCAGTTCCCGGGTGACTCCAATTGCAGAGCCAGCAGTCACTCTGAGCAAGGTGAGAGGCTGCACCTGGGGCCTAGTTTGCCCACTCACTGGCCCCATCCCAGGGCCAGGCAGGAGACTGCATAGAAGACATTGTGTAACCCGGAAGGCCCACACAAAGGCTCCTTGTGTCCTTTATTCCACCTGCCTGGACAACCCACACCAAAGTAAGTGGAGCTGCAGGCGCTGGGCCACCATCACAGCACACCGGAGCGAAGTGGGCTGTGTCCTTGGGGAAGTAGACCAGGTGTGGTCTCCCCTGGGCTGCCAGCACTCCCAGAAATGCTCAGTGTGGTGGTGGTTACCGATATTTGCCCCTTAGCATGGTTTCAGCCTCAATCTGGCTACGTCTACAGCAAAGAATCTGGGACTCCGCAACCACATGAATTGGTAAACATCCTTTTTTATTAATGAGTCAGTCTGGCGGGGTTTTTGTCCTTACAACTAAAAGCCCTAACAGAAAACACTGCTTGCACTGTCTGTAGGGAGAGATGAGGACAGGACAAAAAGCCATCAGACACCTGGGCACCTGGAGGGAGGTAAGACAGGACAGTGGCCCTGTCAGGCTGCCCTGGGCTATGGGGAGCTCAGGCTGTGGTCCCCTGGGCCTGGTGTGCACACACAGCATGGCAGGCTTTCTCCTGGTTTAGGTGAGCTCTGTGCTTGGTCTGGCAGGGCCAGTGGCCAGGCGGTGGGCACCATCGTAGTGAGTGGGCAGGCCTTGGCTTCTTGGAGGCCTCCCCAGATGTTTGCTCTTCTGTGGGGTTTGCTTGCCTAGGGTGCAAGATTGGGGTCCTGGGGCTTGGGCTTTGGCTCAGAAGGGACCCTCACTCTCCTGCCTGTCTTCCCTTTGCATGCAGACCCATATCTGGTGCCCCAGTGCTCAGACACCTGGAGTTATCGAAGCCAGGGAGTTGTCTGGAGCTGCAGCCACAGTCTGCAGGGCTGCGTTCCCAGGAGGCTGAGGTGTTCTGGGACTCGCTAAGTGGGAAGGTTATTACCTGAAGTGGAGCTGGAGGTGGGTCTGGATGGAAAGCCATCTCCAGAAAAAGGCACTGAGAATCCAGAGGGAAGAGCCACCCCCACCTCTGCATGCACCGCCCTGGGGGTCAGCTGTGGAAGGCTGACCAGGAGACACTGGAGGCATAGAACTGCACGCGGCTGGGCCAGTCACCATCCCTGCTGCCCTCCTTGTCATCGTCGGAGTCATCGTCGTCGCCATCGTCTCCACTGGAGGCTCCGTAGAAAGCCCCGCCCAGGTGCGCCAGCTGCTGTGGGGAAACCCCGCCCTGCTCCTCCGCTTCCTCCTGCAGCTTCTGGGCGGCCAGCTCCCGGTAGCAGAGGCTGCAGACGCGCTGGGGCTTGGGCGAGAGGCGCGGCAGCAGGAAGCGTTCTCGGGAGCACTCGGCGCACACCACGAAGCCGCACTTGCGGCAGTGGTGGCGGCGCGTGAGGGCTGAGAAGCGCGTCTGCGTACAGCGCATGCAGATGTCCGTGGCCTTGTCGGGGATCCAGGGCGCCGCGTGCTCTGTGGTGGGCTGGTGGCCGGTGGCCAGCAGCTGCCGCCGCACGCACTCCTCAATGTGGCTGAGCCACTCCTGGCGCTCTGTGGGGGAGGCGGCCGACACCACGAAGGACTTCTTGGCTGTCTTGATCATCCAGCGGTTCTTGGCCTCCAGGGTATCCGGCAGCAGCTCCAGCGTCACCTCCTCCAGGGGAATGATGTGCTGGCTGCGGTACTTGCGCTTGCTGAGCACAATGCTGCCGTAGACCAGGATGTCGTTGAAGAGGAAGAAGATGCGTGGCTTGGCCTTTTTGCGGCACTCTTTGGTCAGCACACCCTCTCCCAGGAGCACCCGGCCCGGCAGGGCCAGCGGCTGCCCTGACGCCCCAAAGCAGTTCTCCACAGCGGCAATGCGCTGGCTGTTGATCTCTGTGTTCACCAAGTGGTCCACCATCTTCTCCGGGTTCTTGGCTGTAGGAGGAGGCAGACGAGAGGCATGAGCTTGCCCAGGCTTGGTCAAGGGCAGAGTGGGCGTTCACAGACACCCCATCTCACTAACCCACCAAATATGACCCACCGTGTCCCAGCAAGCCCACCCGCCTATGTAACCACAGGTATGCACCACCTGGAAGCCAACCCTGGAAGCATAAGAAATTATTGGGGGCTGAAAGAGGGTCCTCTGGAGAAGGCATGGAAAGCCAGACAGGGCTGGGAAGGCAGCATAAGCAGCAAGATACAGAGGGTGACCACTGTGTGCTATAGGGTCCATTCCAGAGGAACCTTGGAAGACAGGACAGAACACTCCTCCATGGCATCCACCCGGGGACGGGGCAAGTAAGTTGGGTTGGTGAACCTTCAACTCCCAGCAGCGGGCCTCAGGGCACTGTGAGCCCGCCCCTCAGCTAGAGGAATGCATGTGCCCTATCTACGATCCTAGCCAATCACAGACCTCACAACTCCTCATCCAGCCAGCGTGTCCAGCAGCCACCATCATCAGCGGCAGCAAGTGCTGAGTGCCTCGTCCGTGCCACACAAGACTGTATGTATCCCTGCTAGGCCTTGTACAAACCCTGGGAGGCAGGATCCCTACTTCACAAGAGGGAAACTGAGGCTGTACAAGTAAGTCAAGTGGCCACAGAATTCACACTGTACCACCTTCCTCCATAGAAATCAGGCCCATTTTGGCCCCTGGGATGGTGCCCTAAGAAGTAAGTACGGCGGCCTCCTGGAATCTCTTCTATTCCAGCCACACACACTCCCTTTGAGCCGGGCAGACTTATAGCTCTAAAGCCCACCCAGAGGCTGTTCACCCCCAGCCCAAGCCTCCAGGCCTGGCCCTTCCCCTGGGCTCTAAGCGTGGATGTCCACCTGCCCACCTGCTCAGCAATAAGCTCCTCACGCTAAACACCACACGCACCCAGTTCCCCTCCTCTCAGTTCTTCTCAGCCATTGGAACCACCATTTGCCTAAGCGTTCAAACCCCCAATCTAGGGCTCATCCTCACATCTCCTCTTTCCAATGCCACCAACATTCAACCTGTGAACAAGTCTTATCATCTCCCTCCATGTGGCCGAGCCTGCTCACTCCTCAGCACAGGATTCTGCCACTTTATCCACAGTGAGGCGCCAGCACATCTCACCTGGACCAGACGCCCACGTCACCTCCTTCCTGTGAGCAGCCTGGTTCCCACCTCCCTTTGAGAAAGGGCCTCCCGGTTGGCAAAGATCAGTCTCAGAATCAATAGTGACCTAGTGCCTGTCTCTAGAAATGAAGTTTTATTGGGGCCCAGCTCTGCTCATTCGCTTACTATTATCAGTGGCAACTTTCATGATACAAGGACAGAGCTGAATAGCAGTGACAGAGGCCACAAGGCCACAAGCCTGAAATATTTACCCTCTGGCCCCTTCCAGAAAGTTTGCCAACCCCTTCTGTAGGATGCTACTCTATTATTTTTCTGTCTTCACAAGACTTATCAGGACCTGGTCTTTTCTTGTCTGTGTGTTGCCTGTCTGTTTTTTGTTTCTGCCACTCAATTCTGAGCTCCACAAGAAGGGAAATCTTTTCCTGTTTGTTGCTGTGTCACCAGTTCTTGGGACTGTCCCATGCGCACAGTAAGTGCTTCACAAGGGGCTGGTGAATGACTAAAGCTCCCAAGGACCCACCATGCAGAATTCAGCTCTGCAGAGCTGACCCTGCCCCATCCCACACACACATGTGTATTCAGGCAAGCACAGCACATGCAGCTGAACACACACACACACACACACACACACACACACACACACACGCAGTGTCCCTGGGTCTCACAACTGCAGTTCTATTGTTAAGGCCACCTTAGAGGCCAGCCAGGGAGAGCCCCGCACAGGGGGCGGGGTGCGCTGAGCAGGAGAGGGTGCCAGCCCCTTGAGTGGCGTTCCACTTGCCCCTCGGGGTCCCGAGGCCTCCTGTGAGGTGCTGCCCACACCACCTTATGTAAGAAATGCTGTTTTTAGTTTGCTGACCTTGGCTGTGTTTCACCAGCTCTGAGCTGTCTGCCACAACAGCACATGATCCCTGGCTGAAAGGCAATCTGGCAAAACCAATCTGGCAAAACCAAACAGTGCCCCAAAATGCCACCTCCCCGTCCTTCCGGGGTATATGTGCGGGGGCTGTGGGATGCTCCGGACAAGGTTTCCACCAGGGAGGAGCCCGAGGGGCAGAGGAGGGGGCCTCACAAAGCACAGAGACTGCTGTGCCTGGAGACAACCAAAGTGCCTGTGAGCAGGGCCCACACACGCAGTCCCCAAAAGGGACCAAGGCCAGCACTCGCTGAGTGGCAAAAAGTTACCTGCAGAAAAAGAATACGCAACGGGACACCATGCAAAACTAGTGTGACTCATAAAAAGTATTCAACAGCTGGATCTAGGAATAAGAGCAGGTAAGAGGGAACCTCATTAAGATGGCTATTAAAAGCAAAATAGCAAGTTTCAGTGACGATGTGGCAAGATTAGAACACTGATGTACTACGTGTGAACACAGAATGGTGTGCCCACTTTGGAAGACAGGGCGAAGCTTCCTTAAAAAGCGAAAAGCAGAGTTATCATGTGACCCAGAAATCTCACTCCTGGGTTTACATCCAAAAAGACAGGAAGCAGCTACTCAAAGAAACATCTGCACTCCTGTATTCACAGCAACATTATTCACAATAATCAAGAGGAGGAAGCATTCCGAATGCATTAAAAAGGAAGGAATTTTATAATATCCAAACTCTAGGAGGCTGAGGCAGGAAGATCACAATTTTGGGCCCAGCCTGGGCAACTTAATGACTTAGCAAGACCTTGTCTCAAAATTATAAAACAAAAATTTAAAAAAAGAGAGATGAGACTCAGTGTGAAGGCCTTGAAATTCAATCCCCAGTACTAAAAAAATGAAAAAGGAAATGAAGGACTTTTTTTGTTTTAAACTTGAGGCAGTTTCTTCCTGGCTGGCCTCAAATTTCTGATCCTCCTGCCTCATAGCCAGGACAGCAGATATGCACCACCAAACCAGCAAAAAGGAAGGAAATTCTGATAAATGAAATAATAGGGGTGAATCCTGAAGACATTATGTTCAGTGAAAAGATGGGGGGAGCAAATTTTGTAATGATTCCACTTATATGAGACGCCTGAAGTGGTATCGCATAGAGACCAAAAGAACAGTGGCTGGCAGGTTGGGGTGGTGGGCCCAGAGATTCAGTTTTAAGAGATGAATAGGGGGGCAGAGGATATAGCTCAGCGTCACAGTGTCTGCCTGGCAAGTGCAATGTCCTGAGTTCGATTCCCAGTACGCCTGCCAAAAAAAAGATGAATATATTTAATTATTAGAACTACACCTTTAGGGGCTGGGGATTTAGCTTAGCGGCACAGCGCCTGCCTGGCAAGTGCAACATCGTGAGTTCGATTCCCGGTACTGGAAAAAACAAAACAAAAGATGGGGCTGGGGATTTAGCTCAGCAGCATAGTGCTTGCCTGGCAAGCACAAGGTCGTGAGTTTGATTCCTGGTACCAGAAAAAAGCCAAAAAAAAAAAAAGAACTACACCTTTATAAATGATTAGGATTTTTTTTTAAAATAAAAGCGTGGCCACAAACCAAGGCCACGAGAAAGTGGCCTGGAGGAGCGGATCTAGACAGGATTAGGAATGGGGATGTGGGGAGTTCCGATTAGGTCTGCACCTTTACGTTTCATTTTTTTTATTAGGAAACTGTAGCAAGAAAGACTATGAAATCCAACACCCACCTATTTCAGGAACTAGGAACATGTGCTTCTTTTGCTTTCTAATTTTAAGATCCTCCAAGAGAATAACATTACAGGACAGTAGCTGGGCCAAGTTCTGGGCTCTTGGGGCTGGGAGACAACAAGCAGGCCTGGGGAGGTGCTGGCTGGGTCCGCAGGTAGGGTGCACAGCACAAGGACCTGGACACCGAGGGACACGCCAGGGCCCCTGAGGAAGGCAGCGAGTGTCCCTCCCACACATGTGGGTGCCTGGAAGCCTGGTTATCGGGGGAACTGGGTGAAAACTGATCCTGTGCCCTCTGCAGACTGAAGCCCAGAGCATTCAGCAGCCAAGGCAGCTGGGCTTTGAGCCCCGAGGGCAGGAGGCCCCACAGAGAGGGAGAGAGGAGGTCGGGTGAGCTCCGGAGGCTACTGGCTCAGGATGCCCCCAGGAGCAAGCACTGCACACAGGAGGTGAGAAGCAGCACCCAGGCGAGGAGAGCTGAGGCAGAGGCGCTGAATCTGCAGCGGACCCAGCCAGCAGAGGGGAAAACCCACAGCAGTACCTCCCAGATGCCCAGAGAGCCCACACAAGACCTCCACACTGCTGCGCCCTAGTCTGTGACTAACAGGCCCCCGCTGGGCCCCAGTGGCTGCTATCCAGCTGCCGGGGGAGAGTGTGGACCAGGCAGGGCAGGGCAATCAGGTGGTGACGGTGGGGTCTGGGCTGAGCTGACCCTGCATACTGATCAGCTAGAAGGCTCTCCTGCCCTCTCCTGGGGACACTACAGAGGTCCCGGGTTGGGCAGGGGACTGGGAAGACAATGCCCTCCCACAGACGTGACCATAACTTCACACCCTGGCTTGACACAGCCTGAGGTTTTTCTCGGTAAACGAGGCAGGGTGAGTCAGATGGGGAGTCTTCTCTTTCAGTACTCTCATCAGAGCAGTGAACAACCTTCACTTAGGACAGGAGAGGAGAGCCAGCTGCCCCCAGCCACTCGGCCTCAGGGAGACAGTGAAGATGGAAGCCTCCCACAGCCTCTAGGCCTTGGAAGACGCCTGTACCAACCCCAGCGGCAAGCAGGACACTGATGGAGGGAGGACACTGCCACAGGGTCAGTGAGACTGGGGCCCAGAGGAATGAACAGACCCGCATTTCCCTGAGGGCTCAGAAGAGTGGGGGGCTGCTGGCTCGTCTTAGTTACTTTTCTCCCATTGCTGAGACAAAATACCTGACACCCAGAATTAAGGAAGGAAAGGTTAATTTAGCTCACAGTCTGTGGAGGTTTCAGTCCATACTCAGCTGGCTCCAAGGCAGAGTGGCACATGGCAGAAGGCAACGGTTCATGGTGACAGAACACAGCAAAAAGGGAGGAGCAGAAACAGCAAGACTATTTCCCTCCCGTATACTGGATGCAGGCTGCCTGCCCCAGGGCGAGTGTAGCACTCATACCCATAATGCCAGCACTGGACCACCACTAGAGTCCATCCAAAACTCTAGAAGCCCGCCGCATGACTGCAGAGACTTTGGGGGGTACATCTAGACTCAAACCAACACAAGGCTTAACCACCCCACCACCTGAACCTGGGGTGAAGATATTCACAGTGGGCACTACGGCTTGCTAGCTGCTCCCCCAGCCACTGAGTGACTGCGTGTGCCATGTGGCCAGCGTCCTATGCATAATTGTCAAGGAGTGATACGTGATTACAATCCAGGGCTGAAAATCCGCACCAAACCTGGCCCACTTCCAGCTTTTTATTTGTTATTGGAACACAGCCACATACGACAGACAGTATGGTTTGCAAAGTCTAAAATATTTACTATCTGGCCCTTTGCAGCAGAGGTTTGCTGACCTCTAATGTACACAACCAGGAGAGGTAAAATGTGCATCGCAGTAACTTCTAGGATACACCTGACAGGCCACAGGGTGCTTGGTGCTGGGTCCTGATGGAAACCAGTGACTCTGATCACCCACTTGGGATAGAGCCTTTCGGATTAGAGACGTCTGGGTCCTGGAATCCTGGAAAGTAGGAACTGGGGTTGGAGCCCTGTCCAGCCCCCCACTTTTCAGAGAGTAATTCAGGCAACCACAGTCCCAGATGGGCTTAGAATCTTCAGGGCAGCACAGCCCTTTGGACTTTTCCTTGGTTTAGGGACTGGGGCCTCCTTGTGCTAGCAGGACCTCAGCCCAGCCAGGCCCACCCTGCTTCCAGGACTGAGGGAGTTCACCTTCACTCCCACCGGCCAGGCGCCCAGCCAGGCATTGGGCCACGGTGGGTAACAAGAGACCAGGCCCTTCAGTAACACACTTCTTTCTCCTGAGGGAGACAGACCGGAAGGAAGCGGCCAGGTGTTTTCTGTCAGCCTGCCAGCCACGAGAAAGGCTGATGTGCCCAGCGGGGTTGGAGGTAGGGGTGGTGTCTGGGAAGATCCTGTGAGGAAGTTACTTCACCCCCAGCTGAAAAACCAGGCAGGAACCTTCGAGGCAGCCCTGGGGAAGAGCAGGCCCTTGGGAACTGCCAAGGTAGAACCAGTGAAATGAGGTAGCAGAGGAAGTTACAAGAGTCAGAGAGATCAGGTCACAGGGGTTGGCTGGGGCCATCCGGAATAAGATTTGAGTCTTTCTCTAAATGCAGGAGCGCGGTTCCAGAATCCAAATATCCTCTCCTTCCGGAGGGGGTACCCCTCAACTTTGTCCTCCTCTAGGAAAAAAGACTAGTAACCAGTCACTTAATCCTCACCACAGCCCACTTGGAGAAAGTACCACCAACTACACCAAAGTCACTGCCTACGGTCCCAGGAGAAGTGACCAGGAAGTCCAGCTCCCAAGTAGCACTGAGCTGCAGAAGGCTGCTTTCAAGCAAACACACAGAATGAGAAGTCCTCAGGTCCAGCGTGTGGGACTTCTTCCTAAATGTCTGAACTTCCTTCCCTCCGAATACACACAGGGAGGCCCGGGCAGGTCCATCGGCTTGGCTGGGCTGGCCTACCCTCCGGGTCCCATAGGCCAAATTCCTTTGTCCACTTGGGGTGCAGGTTGGCTGGACAGGTTCCCTTTGCTCAGTTGTGATGTCACCTCATCTTGGAGAAAGTATGAGGTAGGACAAGGGCAGGGACTCAGGCCAAAGTCAGGCCCCTCTCAGTGTATACTGACCCAGAGGGAGTTAGGAGCCAAAGATGACCCTGGGACAAGTCTGGTCGTTTCCGTTGGCCTCTGACCTTCTCTAGTGATAAGATAATCTTATCTTGAACATCTTGGTTCAAATTCCAAGAGTCCGTGGAAAACAAGATTCAGGGTGGCTGGAAACTTCAGTTATCCTACCCTCAAAGAGGACAGGCCGGGACATATCCTCATACTTCAGGTACCCAGGACAGGGAAAGGGCAGGAGAGGCCAGGCCACCTCGGGGAGCCAGGCCCTGCAACTTCCTCCGACATGGGAGGGGGCCTGACCCTGTTTTATTTTACCTTTCTCACTAAGAGTCACAAACACCAAGGCTCCAGGGGAAGGCAGTGCCTAAGTAAGAGGCCAGGCAGGACCGGATCACCTCAAAGCACAGCGGTCCTGCGCTCTGCCCCCCATCCCCCACCCGTCTTGGTCCCAGCCTCACATCTAGACCCCCTCAGTCCCAGGAGTGAGGCCCCGACGACTGCCTTAGATCCCACCAAAAACCTGGCACGCTGAGATCCCTGGAGCAGCCCCAGGGCGCCTCGGAGTCCTGCCTGGCTCACACCTCCCGCAATCCCGCAATCCCGGAGGACCCTGCCTCGGCCTCGAGACGGCGACCTGCCCTCACCCCGCTTCCCTGGCAGCTACGGGCCTCAAGCGTGCACCACGCACCTACACGCGCCACTGCTGCGGGGCAGAGCCCGAGATGCCCCGCCGCGCGCCACGCCAGCGGGGGCCCGGGCCACCTCCTTCGGGGGCCGCGTCCCGCCTGCTGCTGCACGGCGCCGGCACCCCGCAGCTACTCTCCGTTCGGGTCGGGGGTGCTCACCTCCTCGCCCGGGATCCGGTGTCCCGCTCTCGGCCGGGACCCGAAGCGCTCACCTCCTCGCCCAGGCCCGCAGCCCCCTCTCGGCTGCTGTGACCCGCTGGAGGCTCTGGTCACTCCCCGAGCCGCCCACGACTCGAGTTCCAACTACCCTGCCACGCCCCCCCAGAGGAGGCTCGGCCAATCGGAGCCTTGGGGTGAAGGCGAGGGCGGAGCCAGCTCAAATTCCAGCCAAACGTGTGCGGGCGGAGCAGCCCGAGGTGACTTGGTGCGCGGTCAGCGCCTGCGGCGCGCCAGGGCAAGGCGGGGCTTGCTCGGGCTCCAGCGGGGCTGGCTCCCCACTTTGTACCCTAGTTCCCCGGTGTCCCTCTCCCCCGCCGCCGCAGCCACGCGTGGTTGGGAGCGGCTCCCGACTGGGTGAGGCGGGATGGAGCCCAAGTTAGGGGTGGGTGG